CCGGGAAAAGCCAGCTTCTGTTTGCACTGGTCTTCACGACACGATACCTGGACCTTTTTACTTCTTTTATCTCATTGTATAACACATCCATGAAGGTACAGTATGACAGACAACTAGGGGGATTTTATCTGTAGGTCACAGGTCTAAGGACATGTTATTGGTGTTAGCTGTGTTATATGATGAAAGTTCCCTAAGAATAATGCCTAATTCTGCCATTTCTTCCTTGAGAACCCTCAGATCACCTTGCACATTTAACTGAGGAGAAATAGTTGCCAGTAAGCATATTTTTTGTTTCCTTGGCCATCTAGTAATTAAAAAGTAATTTTATATTATTTTAAATTTAAAATAATTTTAAGAATAATTTGAGATTAGAGGGGTTTTAATCCTAAATTCCTTGAGTCCATTAAAGCTCTTCATAGTTCTGTAAGAAAGTCGGGTGGTGGTTATGTTTTTTGGCCCTAGGAACTTACAGGCGCCTCAGGGAAGCCTAGCAGGTGGGTCCTTAACATGGCTCTGAGGTGAGGCGTCTTCCCTGTTCTTTGGCTTCTCTCTTTTCTCCCCACTGGGTCAGTTTTCCAGTCTCTGCTGTATGTACCCCTCGTACTGCTGTGCCATGCTCAGTACTAGAATTTACCTAATAACACAGTTCCAACTTAAAAAACCTTTGAATGTGTCCTAAGCATTGCTGTAGGAGCTGTGATGGTGCAGTGGTTAAAACGCTAGGCTACTAACTGAAAGGTCGGCAGTTTGAACCTCCTAGTGACTCCGTGGGAGCACGGTGTGGCAGTCTACAAGAGTTACAGCCTGGGAAGCCCTAAGGGGCTCCTCTGCTCTCTCCTACAGGGCTGCTGTAGTTGGGGTACGCCTGACAGCAGCAGGATTGTTTTTTCTTTAAGTGTTAGTTTCCGGGACAGTTTTTCTACCTCTTCTAACGCATATTAAAATAAACCTGTGAATCAAATACGGCACCTGTGCACACCAGCGGGCAGCTGGACAGCACTGGGCGTACGCCCCCCCACTGGGTGGCAGTGAACTGGCAGTCAGAGCCCTCGTGGCCATGGAAGTCCCCCTCAGCCAGTGTCCCTCAGTACATAGACCTCACGGGGAGCAGGGAGGCAGAGGCTAGATGGAGCTCATGGCCAGGAGTGGGGGCAGTGGCAGATGGGCTTCTGGACAGACAGACGGGACTCTTGGGACTGTCACTGGAATCTGATTTCTTTCAGTAATTCATGCTATGAACAGTTAGGGAGGAGCTGTGTGCCCAGTGTTATTCTAGGCACTTGGCTTGTTGGCACTCCGAAGGAAGATGCTGGAGCTGAAACCACCCACCCTGCACTGTCTGTAAAACAGTCCTGTAAGCACGGGTCCAGGTGGATGCAGCCATGTTGGAAGTCATGGCCATTCCTAGAAAGCAGATGTGGTGGTGTGAGTACCGGGCACTTGTAACGGACTCGTAGCTGACCCTCAGCGGGTTTTCAAAAGTTGTCACATTTTTCTCCTGCAGAGCTGCTGGTGGATTCGAACCACTTGCCTTTGGGTTGACAGACAGCACAATTCCTTACCACTGAACCATCATTCATGAGGGGGTGATACCAAACCCAGACCCATAACCATCAAGTCGATTCTGACTCATAGTGATCCATTGGGACAGGAGAACTCCCTATAGGGTTTCCTGAGTTTTCAGTCTTTATAGGAACAGATTGCCACTTTTCTCCCATTGAGCAGCTGATGAGTTCAGGCCACCAACCTTTTGATTAGCAGCTGACTGTTTTAATCATAGCACCACCAGCGCTCCTTAAGTAAGTGATGGGAGCCTGGTGATCGAGAAATGGTTGGGCCCTCTGCATGTCACCTAACCAGGTTAAACTGCAGCTTTTAGGGGGTATGAGCAGGCCGCCCTCTTCCCCCCTCAAGAAGCCTCCTCTTCAGGGCTTTGCATGTCCAGGTACAGAGTGTCAGGATGCGGGCAGCGGGAGCAGAGTTTTCTGCACTTGTGCCTTTACTGTAAGTGCCAAGCCTTGGGGAGGGGGAGAGGCAGCTGGTTTTCCCAGGGAATGGACCCCTGACCTCAGCTAAGCCCCTGCTGGGTGCTCTGGAGTGACCTTCGGCCACTGTGTGCCCTGGCTGGGTGTCTGTGGGGGGGGTGCTCTGGAGTGACCTCGGGCCACAGGGAGCCCTGGCTGCATGTCTGTGAGAGTCCTTAGGTTGTTTGTGTGTGTAGACTGTATGCTTTTTCATCCGTGCATTTGCTCCTGGAGACCTCAGAGATGCTGCCGGTTCAATAAAGCAAGTCACACACACCTTGCCGCACTGACATGCTGTTTTCTCTTGGCTCCCAGCTCATCTACATTGCCTGCTCCTATGCGACCGTGTACCTGATCTACATGAAGTTCAAGGCCACCTATGATGGCAATCACGACACCTTCCGGGTGGAGTTTCTAGTGGTCCCCGTGGGAGGCCTCTCGTTCCTGGTCAATCATGACTTCTCACCTCTGGAGGTGGGTGGTGAAGCTCTTCCACAGTCAGGTCTGGTCCAGGGGAGACGGGCTTGCTGGTTCCTCTGTTCAGCATGAATAAAATAAAATACATGGTGGGCAGAGTTTGCATGGTTACAGCTCCATCTCCTTAACCCTTTGCATCTTGTTAACGCCCTCATTGTTTAGAGGAGGAAAAGCCTTGAGAACATTTATATCTTCCGGGAAGGAGAGCTGGCGGTGGCGTGTGAGGGGCAGAGCAGTGAAGGGGGAAGGAGCCTCGTGATCAGGGTCCAGCCTAGCAGGAAGCAGGGTTCATGGTGGGATGGACTTGTCCAAGAGAAATTGCCCCCACGCAGGTTTGTAGACAACTAGAGAGACGGGAATGGGATGCGGGAAGGTGCCCAGGGTCCCAGCTTGTCCTTGGTAGTGCCCACTCTGCATACATGTTGACATTCCTGTGACTATTGAAGCCCTCACTGCTGGGACACCCTCCGCTGGTGAGCTGTGCCTGCCGTGGGCATGCGCGCTGACGGGCCTCACTGCCTTCCAGATTCTCTGGACCTTCTCCATCTACCTGGAGTCCGTGGCCATCCTGCCTCAGCTCTTCATGATCAGCAAGACCGGCGAGGCGGAGACCATCACC